GGTATGGGGTTTCTAGGAAGATTTAAGGAACTATTTAAAGTAAGTAAGATTAGAATATTATGTGAATTAGTGGTAAGAAAAAAATCCTAATCAACATGTAATCACTAATTTACATGTTTCTCTTAAAATATTTCGGAATAAAGAGGCAACAATATATTTATATGCAGATAATCTTTTTAGAAGAGAAACTGACGGCCAATATTTTGGCGAAGGTTAAGCGACTCCAACCTAATTCTTACATATGATCCTTGCTAGTCGCATCTTCGTCATTAAATAAAAAATAGTCGGACAAATCTTCATATCCATTATTATAAATGGAATTAGCGATAGGTAATGTGTGATATTGCGATAAATAGTCAGATTGGGTGACAGGATTTGTGAACAGAATAGGGACAGGAGGTACGTAAATAGATGATGACACGGCGGATAGCTCTAAGAGGTTTTTAATTTTTTCTTTTTTTTTTAAAAAAAAAGAAAAAAACTTAAAACTATTAATCAAAAAATAATAACGAAGTTTGAATATCTTACCTAGTGAAATTTAAAATTTAAGTCCGTCACCAAAATCAAGGTACACTTTACCATCTTCTTCAATAAAGTTATATTCAATTGGTGGATCTAATAGATAATGAAACTATAAGGTTATGAAAGGAATAAAGAATAGAAATATAGCATTCGATGTATTTAATTAAGTTTCTACCTTTAACGATCACCTTACAATGAGCGCATTGAGGAAACTGATCTTTGTTTTCCTTATTTTGTTTATAGCACTTTATACATTGGACCAAACATTCCGTTTGTCTCTTCTTACATATTTCACACCTATACTCTCCTTTACGTTTGCATCTTTTTTTTTGCTTATAGCAACAAGCACATGTGTTAGAAAATTCTGTTAAAGATTCTAACATTGTTTACAAAGAAACGAAGGAATTAAAGTGCAAACTTTAGTATCTAATATATTTTCTAAAAGCGTCATTTTAAGTAGATCTTTTGAACACAAACATAACATTCCGACAAATGCCGCTACAAGAAAAATTTTGTGACAGTTGCCACATTTCTATAAAATTAACCCTATTCTATGTTTGAAAGAATAAAGCAGAATATATTTATTTATTGCTCAAATATGACCATCCAATTATTTCTTTAACATCGAGAATTTAATACTATTGTGTGATATTATTAGTTCTTTTGTGTACAAAAAAATTAATATTTGGAACACAAGTTATTTTTAGGAAAACTATTTAAATAAAGAAATTTCCAATAAATGCTTTTAAAACTTCTATTTTTTCTAGAGTAAAATCAATTTACTGATGACGAATGTTGAAAGATATTGTTTTTTTTCAATAAATTAACGCAGCACCTTGCTCTTTATTTTCACTTAATCTTGACAAGTCGAAATCTAGCTTTCAACGCAGTATGAATCATACCGGACCCCAAAAGACCCATATGGCGTGCATTTCTTGCCAGGGAATCAAAGAGAAAATGTGTAGTTTCTCATACAAATTCAATATGTGAGAGGTGTCAACGAAATAATTCAGTGTATTTACCCAGATAGAAAAAAAAGTGGACCTAAATTGCAACAAACGCCAAATCAATCACATTTCACAATTAATCCCCAATCGCAGAGTGAAGCTGGCAGTTCCATTAATTTACAAGTTAGTGCTCGTTTAATTTAAGATTTGATAATATACCATTAATTAATGTAAATATTGTTTAATTGTCAAAGGTCACAAACAATTCTGTAACGGCGAAGCATCTAATGACAACACATATGATGATTTTAGCCTCTTCTACGTGTGATAATTCAACTTTACGATTTGTTCAAGATGATGTTGGATTTTATTACGTTAATTTCATGCATAAAAATGTAATTTTCGAAATTCCAAACATTAACAGTATTCTCAAAAACGGACGGCGTGCACCTGCCACCTCTTTTATACTTTTCAGAAACATTCTACAAACTTGTATTACAGCAATGGACTTAAGAATTGAACGCCATACTTTATCGAGACATGCTTGCAACATTTGGAACGACTTAAAACGTATTAACCCATCTCTTGTGGATTTGTTTAGAACCATTGCTAGGGATGCAGCACAAAGGTTTTACAGTACGAGTTTAAGGATTATAAATGTCAATCTGCCTATTATCAAATATCAAGAAAAAGATGCACACACATCACCCTTAGTAGGACAATCTATCGATCAAGATGAACCTGCACTCCAATCTCTTTTAAATGACCTTTTTCCCGCAATTGATTTTTGACGTAAACATGCGAAATTTTAGTAAAAATAAGTAATAACGAAAAATAAATCATCAATTTGAATTAGTTTACTATGTAAAAATTAATAATAATTTAATATAAAAAGGTCAGTAAATATAACATAAACATTTTAGCCATGTAAATAATTCTCTAAATTTAAGTCTATATAATTAAAAACAGATCAATTGCAATTTGTATTTTTTTTATATAAGTATATTTTACATTATTTTTTTTTCGGATAGGAAATTAATAATTCATAGTTTGATTCAAAATTTTTATTATTAATGGGCTGAATCATAAATGTTTCTTTAAACAAATTGGTTTGTTTTATGCTCCACGAAAGTTTCATGAAACAGATTTTTTTATAGAATTAATAGTAATTTGATTTATTTTAATATAGTGATTTGATGTATCTTATTATAGCACGGCCACTATTGATCATGAGTATTACACCGTTTATGTTATAAAATTACTTTCTTTTTATTACGTCA